TAATTGTGACAAATATCTGAGTAGAGACCAACGGAACGATAAGAAAATGTTATCTTTACACGAACCCTGATTTGGAATTTAATTAATGTTAACTCATTAAACATTCCGTAGAACTAGAAACAGACTGATAATGTCTATAGCTGGATAAACATTATAAAAATATATAATTAACACCCTAAATTTATTTAACAATGGGACGTATTATAAAGAAGTATATTAGTTTTTTTCCAAGAAGCGAGAACTGCAATTAACACCTTTTTACACATGGATTTGGCTAGACGGGAAAAGTGGTTATTAGTAGTGTAACTGTCGCTGTAGTGAATGGAAATACAGGATTTTACAGATGTGAAGAGGTCCGAGCTGACTGAGTTGCTGAATTGGAATAGTAGTAGAGCGCGATCTTCCAATAGATTTCCAGACGACTTCTCTTGAAAGACGCACTTTTACTTTTTTAATGAGAAAACTCTTTCAGCTCCTCTTCATCACTGGCGACATCATCCAACTGCCAATTATTACATACGTTCCTACCACTACCAACATTCCGGTTATCTGGTGTTCCTCAATCACGTAATTTCTTCTTAGACTTCTCCTTTCATGTACTTCTGCAGTTGTTCAGTATTGTCTCCCCAAGTCCTTTATCCTTATAACACCCTGTTTTCTGTTTCTTCTACATATTTCAAAGTTTTGAAAAATCGTTTTTCCTTCCAATTTCAGATTTATAATCAGTAATTATTTTTTGTGTATCATTAGTCTGTCGATTTAAGATGTGAGAGACATTTTAAGTACCCTGGGCTTGCTCCTAAATACCGTACGACTGATTGTTTTATTGCTCGTACTTGATAAATACAGATATACGTTTGCTGAAATATTGCACCAGCATAAATTCAGTTTAAATGTGTTCCTCATAAATCGACTTCTGCCAACTAATTCCTTTATAATTCATTTTAATTACTTAAGAATAATTTTAAAAAGTTTAAATTACCTAAAATACACAAGAAAAATTTTAAATAATATATAAGCTGCACAGAAGAAGAGGTACGTATAATTTGAAATTATTACACATTTTATGCACATGTGTAAATATAATAAACAGTGTCATCTTATTATGTGTCCTTCTCGATAATCCTAACCTCCATCTTACTCTTGAAAAAATTCAATTTCATGATTTCCACCTTGTTTGAACTAAGGCTGTCTCTCAAAATAATTTTGCCATTTTTATAACAAATTGAGTAACTCAAATCGCACAAGTCCATTTATCATGTAGGTTTGTTTTTTGTATTTCTCACATATCTACTTGAGGGCTATCTGCGTTCAGCCGTCCGTAATTTATAAGTAACAGACTAGATGAAAGGCAGCTAATCAACACCACCCACAGCCAACTTTTAGGATACTCTTTTCCAACGAAAAGTGGGATTCACAATCACATTACAACGCCCCAATAGCTGAAGGGGCGATCATGTTCGGCGACGGGATTAGATCCCGCGAGCTGCAAGTTGTGAGTCGAGCTCCCTAACCATCAGACCATCCCACGCGTATTATGAAAGACATTTTAATATTGACTACTTTTAATACTGAAATTAATACTGATATTAAAAGCTACACATTAGAATGACTAGCCCTAATATCCAACCTTCTCCTAATATATTACAACCAACTAGCAATGAAGTGTAGTTAAAAGCCAAACTAAATCGTGACCCAGAAAACGATGTTAACAACATTAACTAAAAGTACAAGTGCAATAATGAAACTATATTTAGTACAACACTCTACAATGTTTCAATCTAAATTCCTTGCTATCGTATTGGTTTTACAAAGCAATATTTAATACTCTTAATTATTCCTAGTATGCTAATGTGTGAAATTTTATGTAACATATGTAATTGCACGTTTTTATAGTCCACTCCTGTCACATATTACAGGGAGTACAAAGCTCCATTTGAGCAACCTGGTGTTTTTACGAAACTTATATTTGTTTGGTATGTCGCCAAATTCTATCTCCCCCAAACGCTATTCCTGTTCTTCTGAATTTTAAAGACAAAGAACGAACATAAATTAATCTAAAAACTAGGCCAGTCTACCCATAGGGTGTCAAGGAAAGATTGCAAGCTTCATGACAATCATTGTAACCTTATGTTATTATTTCACATTTTTTATAGAACAATCAATGTTCATTCTCGTTGATTTGGACAGAATAGGATTTAGCAGCACGTTGGTTGTTCAAAACGTTTAGTAAACAAATTAATGTATTTTAATTGTATTTTGATATTTCTACAAAATATGTTGTTTTGTTTTTTCATTACAAAAAATATCGTTCTTCTGTTGTTTTTCTACGAAGCATGTATTATCTAGCCAGTTAAAGTCTAAAGCCGTAAATTAATGATAACACATATATCACATAATTTAGGTAAGTCACGGGGATATCTTTATGTCAGAATACAAATTCCTTCAAATCATAATCTCCCACGAATTAGGGAGTTAAAGTATATACCTGTATATTTTACACCTCACCATCCCAAAAAAAGGGGGATTAAGATGGGAAAGTTTATATATATACTAGACCACCGTGACCCGTTGGGTCAACCACCATTTAGAGGTTATGAAGAATTGAAGCTAATTTAAATATTGCACCGAAATGAAGGTTCATTTGGAGATAATTTAATTAAATATTTCAATCCATTCGTGTTATTCAAAATTCAAGAAAAGATATTTGATTGTTGATCGAGAGTAAAAGGAAAGACCATTTCATTTTTTAAAAAAGTGAAGTAAGAAGTTTCGTAGAGACCGTGAATGGTAGTGTGATTGATTTTTTTGACTGAAAAAATAAACAAACAAACAATCTGAGTTTTAATAGTATATGGATAGATTCTTCAATATATTTGATTGTTGTCATCTTACGCGTTTTAATTAAGATGGGAACATTGACAGGGAAATAATATAATAGCCAATGCTCGGCGAGAGGTTTTTGTTTGTAAAATGTTGTTGTTGTTCTCGACTTGATTTTTATATTATTACCCCGTCTCCATAGTTACTATTTGCAAATAGTCAATAATATTGTAGGTACATTTTATTGTTGTTCTTTCTAAGCGCCATTATAACACATTTTCATCTCATCATTTAATATCTGTTGTGCATATATTGTTGTATAGAAGATATTTTAAAGTGATTCATGAGGTGGAAAACGAAGTTTTATAATAATGGAATGTATGAAAAGTGACCCGAAAAACGGTGCTAACTCAGTAACCCGTGACCCGATTTTAACGAAACTTGTTTTATTCTGTTTCTATTCTCATTTTATTACAAATATGGCGGTATTGTGCGCAGTTTTTGCTGTATTTAATTACAGACAAGCACACACACACACAAACAATCTCAGAGTTTTAGTAGTATATATATATATATTCTTATTGAAGTTTTGTTGTTTGCTTTAAGTACTATTTTTGAAGAAATAATCCAGCATCTTGTTTTAAGGTTTTGCCCTCCAACATTGTTATATTTGTTGTACTGTTATATGTGTATTGTTATACTTTAGATAAGACAAAACTACGGTCCTACTATTGTTACATGCTCTTCTATATCCAATTATATAAACGAAATTTTTATTTGTTGCAATTGGTACGTTTTGACTTTTTATGTTCATTGAAATTAATACGACAGACTCACTTAAAGTGACAATATTGTAACATTATTGTTTTGGAGCAAATAAAACATACATGACATAAACCCGTATTACAAAAGTGATCGAATATTTGATGACAAAGACGAACCTTTTCTAAAATAAAACTTGAAACCTTAATATGCAGAAACGTCAACATATTTGCATAAAAGTATACGCGCGAAAATAGGCATTTTGAATTTACTGAATATTTTTTGGAAAGCTGCAAAATTTATATTAAGTATTTTCTATATAAAATTCTTTAAACAAAATATCCTTTAAACATTTTGTTCTCGACATTTATCTTTCAAATTTGTGTCAAATGCAAAGAATGCTTTTGACAGTTGACTCGCCCTTTGGTGGCGCCACAATCGGCTGAGTAAGGGGATACCCTGTAAATCGGTAACACGGCAGATTCATCACAGCCAATCGTAGAGTTTCGTGCATTCAATCTGTGCATAGAGTGGCGAATAAATGAACTGTTTATTGTCTCGAGCTCACGAGAGAAAAGAAGTTTGTGGTTTTGTTCTAACACGTATTCCCACGATTTATACTTTTCTCCAAACTCTCCCATTTCTTCTCTATGCTGTTCTGCTCCAGAAAGACCACTGTCACTTTTGTGTTCATAACTGTGTTTTCCTTCTTTTGAAAACAGCCCTGAAAGTTTTGAAGAATCTGTAAGGTTTGTCTTCTGACCTAGATGGAACGTTGTTATAGCAACAGAGGGCCGTCTTCTTCCAGAAGAAGAAGCTGCTGTAATCTCGGCTAAGTATTTTACAGCTTTTTGGCGGCTCTTAAAACCCTTAATTTTTTGTATTAAATCTTCTTTACAGAAAGTTTCCAATATGGCACCACTACCAATCAATAAGAACTCATCATCTTGACGAAGGTCGATTTCATGTACCTGTAGGTGAGGAATGACGTTTCTATTACACGCAACGCTCTTTGAGTCAATACCTTCCTCAGAAGTGGAGCCATTAAAACCAGCCTGTTGAGAAATAACAGCCTTTAATTAAAAGTTGTTTGAGTATTATTACGTATTTATAATTTTAATTTATGCATCTTATAAAGTTAAGCCTAAAATTAAAACCTCATCACCGCCTATCTTCCAGTAAAACAGTAGATTAGGAAAAACAACACCTAATCCGTGTTCCTGTATTTACTTAATAGACGAAACGCTACATGAATGATGACTGTTATACCAGATCTTTATCTAAAATCAATTTCTCTAAGTTAAAAATTATTTATTGGAAGACGTTTCATGGAAAGTCCCTCTCTTGGCCCTCCTAAATGTTTGTGTTCTGATTGTCGGAATCTGTGTTTAATTCACAAAGACTTGTTTTCAAAGGATTGTTACTGTATTTCTCTAAGGTATGAAACATTGTTTTGTTGACTCACTTTTCGGAAAACGTAGCTTAACAATAAAATAAAACACGAACGTAATAACAGGAAGCATTTATTAGACAACAACTTGAAGGGAAAACCCAGTGATTTCTTAGAAGCCTAAGCAAAAGAAATATTATTTCTGATTGTGTTTACAATAATTTATATTCCACAGGCTCCCAACCTGGAATATTATATGGTCTGCCAAAACTTCACAAACCAGACACTGTACTATAGGACACTATACCAATACTTTCCGCCTTAGGCACTCACAGTTATAATGTAGCTAAATTCCTTGTACTCATCTTTAAACCTTTTACTGTGAACAAATTTACAACACCTGACTCCTTCCAATTTTCCCGAGAAATCAGACACCCCCGGGGACGGACAATTAAGTCTAAGCGCGATAGAAAGTGGGTGAATTGTTGTGAACTATAGTGTGTGTATCTGTGTAAATTAAGTACATTACAAAGTTGTATTGAGGAAGAATAAACAAACAAACATACAGAGACGTAACATTGCGTTTGAAAGGCAAAGGGTATAAAACTGTCAAACAGAGTAAGAAAGACAGTAAACGTGTGTTTACGATAGACAGAAGTTGAACAGCTGTTTGTATCATGGTTAACAAGTAAAAAGGCAGTAAATTGAAAAGCTGTTAGCATCATGGTTAACAAGTAAAAAGGCCAGTAAATTGAAAAGCTGTTAGTATCATGGTTAACAAGTAAAAAGGACAGTAAATTGAAAAGCTGTTAGTATCATGGTTAACAAGTAAAAAGGACGGTAAATTGAAAAGCTGTTAGCATCATGGTTAACAAGTAAAAGGACAGTAAATTGAAAAGCTGTTAGTATCATGGTTAACAAGTAAAAAGGACAGTAAATTGAAAAGCTGTTAGCATCATGGTTAACAAGTAAAAAGGACAGTAAATTGAAAAGCTGTTAGCATCATCGTTAACAAGTAAAAAGGCCAGTAAACGTGTTTTTACGATAGACAGAAGTTGAACAGCTGTTAGTATCATGGTTAACAAGAACGTCCAGAAAGGGAATTGAGTTATTTGTCTCAGTATCATGAGTGAAGTGTATAAAGGGGTGTTGTGAATTGAGGTAGTCAAGAAAGCGTTGGATTTGATCAGTAAGGTGGAAAATAAGGAAAGTAGCATCAACATAAATTCTGTAGAGAACAGGTTTGAATCTTAACGGACAGTTGTCAATCCAGTTCTGTTCGTGGTGACAGAGAAAAATGTTGACCAGCGTAGGGTAGGACCCAATCGGGACCCCATAGCAGTGCCATCTATCTGCTCATATAGAGTATTGTTAAAGAGAAGAAAGTCTTTGCTCGAGAGTTCAACCATAGAAATTAGAAAGGGCAATATTAATGGTTTCGTACCGAAGCTAGCCATCACGTGATCTTTAAGGTGGGGGTAAACTATAGTTCCGATCTCTGTGTCTGCTATCCTCACTTCCCGCCGACCGTAATCGCTGTCTTTCTTTCACTCTGCCTGCTTCGTCTCCGCTACGTCTCTGTCTCCACTACTGCTTCGACTCCGTCTGTCTCTCTTACTGTCTAGCGCACTTATATACGATAAGACTGCCTGTTCTAGAAACTTCTAAGACTCTCAACTCGTA